TGGAGGGGGGTGGGGGGGGGGGGGTGTCGGGCAGGCAGAGGGATTACCCAATGGTGCTCCTCAAGTCAGTTTCTGTCTCTACAGGTCATAGTGTCTGGGACCACCCCTCCCTTGCTTTCCTGGACTGTCCCCTAGCCCGCCCTCAGGTCCCTTGTTGGTGAGTTATAATTAGCTCACTGCCCAGGCTAAAAATAGCCCCTACCCAGCCCCAAGCTGCTGGCGGGGGAGGGGATGGTGGGACGTGGTGGGAACCAGGGTTTTAGGTAGTCAGCCTGCAGAACTCTGAAGGCTTGGGGCCTGCACCTTCATATGCTGTTGGGAACTCTGGAGGAGAGTTAGCTTGGGGCAGGGAGGAGAGGAGAGGGCCTGGAGGGTGCCCCCAGGACAGGCTCCTGGAGCACCCCTCGGCTGTCCATCCCAGTTGCTTTCCCAGACTTGTGCCTTCGCCTCACTGGCCCCTTTCTGTCTTCTTCCTGTGTCTCTGCATCTGTCCCCACCTTGCCCACGCCTCCTCCCACTAAAAAGCAGGCTGCCCGACTGTGGGGGTGACAGGTGGATTGGATTGTCGCCCCCTCCCCCAGCGCCTGCTGCTTATTTCATGCCCTGCAGCCCTACCAGGGAGAGGGTGGAGGAGGGTGACAGCTGTCTTCAGTGCTGCCTGAGGCCCCCCAGCGGCCTGCAAGGGAGGGGGAGCGCTTAATGAGAGCAGATCCCTCCTGTCTCCCACTCCCTTAGCCCAGGGCTTGGCCCTTCTGGCCTCTGCTCCTTTGGAGCCTGCTGGTATAGGGCTCCAGAGTCAGATGCATGCTGCATTTTAGAGCCTCAGGCAACCAGACTCAGGGCAGAAGGGTGTGAGAGAGCAGAGAATGGGGGTTCATTGCTAAAGAGCTGAGAGAGGATGGAGACTCCTGGAGGAAGGATGTTTCTGCTTGGCCCTTCAGCAGTGGCTACAGGAACCAGTCCTGACCCTACTCCCATCTCCACCCAGGCCCTTTACACAGGAACTGAGATGCCTCATTCTGAAACTCCAGAGTGGTTTGACTATTGCTCAGGTACCAAGACGTGTGACATTAGGGAGACAAGGGCCTATACTCCAATGATCCTTCAAACCCATGCCCCTTTGCTTTTCACTAGTCCCTCTTTTGCGGATAAACAGTGCACAGTTGCCATGGGATCCTAGATCCTGTGCTTTCCTGCTCCCCACCACCACCACCCCCCTGCTGTCAGCCTCCCTACAGATCCTACCAGCCAGTGCTTTCTTCTTTTACTACTGTGGTTATGGCCTGCTAGGAACACCACCCTGTCCAGCTAGAACCTACTGAAGGGCACTGCTGTGACACAGCTGTGGTCTGAGGTCAGAATGGGAAGGCCTGGGACCTGACACCTCAGCATGTCTGCTAAGAGCTGCAGACTAGGCTTAAAAGAGCTGCCCAGTCCCATGGTGGTGGCACACACCTTTATTCCCAGCACTTAGGAGGCAGACAGATCTCTGTGAGTTCGAGGCCAGCCTGGTTCACAGAGTGAGTTCCAGGACAGCTTGAGGTTATACAAAAGAAACTCTGTCTCACCCCCCCCCCAAAAAAAAAAGAGAAAAGAGCAGCCCAAAGGAACAGAGCCTGCATCTGGAGAGCAGATGACCGGGCCCCTGGCTCCTGGCAGTTAGTTAGGTTGTGGAACAGAGGACTAATTAAGCAGGTCCAGGTGTTGGTTAAAACCTCCTGATGGAGTAGGGAAGTTGGGTCAGTCTGAGGTCCTTTGTGACCATCTCTGCCCAGATGCCACTCTTCCAGAACTAAGATTGAATTCCTAATCTTGCCCCAGGGCATCTGAAGCAATGTGGAGCATTGCAGAGGGGACAGAGCCTGCTTTGTAAGAGAGCTTGTGGTTAGCTAGGAGGAAGGACTGCCCAAGGCAGGGTCTGTCCTCTGGTAGAGGAAGAACAGCAATGAGCAAGACCTGAGAGGCATGGGGTTATTATAAATGTCTGAACTAGTGTAGAAGGAGTCAGGGTTGCTGGGCCCTGACCTCTTAGACAGGTTCCCTCTGTTAAAGGATACTCACTGGGTCTCTCTGGTTTCCCTGCCTTCTCAGCCATGATCTTTCTCATATCCTAGCTCCCCCAGCATGCGGCAGGGATGGGGGGGGCAGTGTAGGAGATCAGCCAGGGAGCTGGTTGCCAGGCGACAGTTGCCTAAGCAACCCCATCCTCTCCATCTCCATGTGCTCAGGGCTACTCCTTAGAAGACTTAGAGTCTTACCCTCTGCACCAGCCGAGCTGAGTGTAGACAGGGATGGGGATGAAGGTGGCAGGGTTGGTTGGAGGGTCAGAGGTGTCCAAGCTGATAGGCTTTGATTGCAGCTGATAGCTCTGCAGAGGACAGTGAGAACAGCAGGATGGACAGAGATTAGACTGCAGGAAGGACTTCTTATGGGCTCATGTTTTCTTTGCATAGGTATTTCCTGGGCTACTTCCTATAGGCAATAGCATAGTAAGAAGACAGATCTGGTTCCTGCCTTCATGAAGCTCCAACTTTGGGGTAACTGGGCACAGAAGAGAAGCATAATTATTTGGAGATTGTAATGCCAGAAAGATTGAGACAGTTCACGCCCCCTTGCCTGAGGACACAGCACTGGCATAAGCAGAAGAGAGTTCCTGTCATCAGAAATCTGTTCATGGACTGAATGTGTTGAGCTGGGGACAGGAAAGGGGACAAGAAAAGAAGGAAGGCAGCCACGTGGCCACTAGGGTCAGGAGTTCCCGAGGCAGGAGTTCCTGAGGCTGTGCCAGAGAAACTTAAAAAGCCAGCTTACCATAGCCCTTGCCCCAGTGTGCCTTTCCACCTGCTGAGGGAGATCTTGAGAGTTAGGGATAGAGTCTTGAAGTCCAGCTGGAGCCTCTGCAGTGAGTTGAGCCACAGGCCAAGATTTGGGTCACAGGCCAGGAGAGATGACTGTTGCTTGGGTCATGCAGGGCTGTCTAGGCTGCTGCTGGTCTGGGATGTGGAGGGTGGACAGTAGAAAGCCAGGGACTGTGAAGCTCCTTGAGTGTCAGAGTCTAAGGGGAAAGGGCTTTGGTTCCCCCTTTTGGTAACCTTACACACATGCAGACAAAACACTTCCTTCCAGGGGAAGAAAAGGAGCTACTCTGTTCTCTGTAGATACTTAGGCAGGGTGGAAGCCAGACAATGAATTCTGAGGGACAGTCATGTGATCCGTGATGGTCCTAAGCAGCTTGAGGCCTTTCCTCCCCCGACCCCTTCATAGTCCGGTGCCTGGTGAACTTGGTCATCTACTCTGTAACCTTCACACCTTGTGGAATAGGCTAGAAAGGCATAGGTTTCACTTGGCAGCCACTGGCACCCAGCTGTTGCTGAGGAACCCTTACCTCCCTGCCTGTGAGTGTGTCTGTTCATCAGGTGCCTGTGGAGACCAGGTGACATTAGGTCTCCTAGGCTAGGTAGTGGTGGTGGCAGGGTCTACAGCACACACCTTTAGTCCCAGCACTCAGGAGACAAAGGCAGGTAGATTTCTGTGAGTTTGAGGCCATCCTGGTCTACAAAGCAAGTTCCAGGACAGCCAGAACTGTTATACAGAAAAACTGTGCCACCCCTGCCCCCTCCAAAAAGAAACATTTGTTCTGGGAACTGAACCCAGGTCCTTTACAAGACCAGCAAGAGCTCTTAAATGCTAAGCCATCTCCTCCTCAGTCTTCCAGAGCACCTACTTTGCAGATCTCCTGATGCCTCCCAATTTATTTATTTTTATGTTTTTTGGTGTTTTTTGTTTGTTTGTTTGCTTTTTGAGGCAGGGATCTCACTCTGTATGTCAGGCTGGCCTCAACTCACTGAGATCCACCTGCCTCTGCCTCTGCCTCTGCCTCTGCCTCTGCCTCTGCCTCTGCCTCTGCCTCTGCCTCTGCCTCTGCCTCTGCCTCTGCCTCTGCCTCTGCCTCTGCCTCTGCAGTGCTGGGATTAAAGGTGTGCAGCAGCAGCAGCACCACCACCACCACCATGGGCTATTGTCTTCTTGTTGTCTTTGTCAGCAAGGCTGCTGCAGCACTGGTTCCCTGGTCCTTTACAGAAACACTGGCCTGGATTAGGGTGAATTCAGTGGTGGAGCACTTACCTAGGGAGTGTGAAACCCTAGGTTCCATTCCAGACACCACAGTCATCAGAGAAAAGAGCCAGACTTTGTGGTGCAGGCATGTCACCATAGTTTCTTGAGAGGTTGAAGCAGGAAGATCACAAATTTAAGGCCAGCCTGGGAAACTTAGAAAGATCTGAGCTCAAGAAATAAAAATGGAGGTTGAGGGTGCAGCCAGGCAGAGCACCTTCGTAGCGTGTACAGGACCATTGGGTTCAGTCCCCTGTGTGAGGTGAAGAGTTAGGGAGGATAGATTTGCTGCCCTCCAACCTAGAGTAGCTTGTCTGTGTGTAAGCAGTGGGAAATCCCTCCCTCCTCCACACAAAAACTGTACTTGGGCTGGGTGAATGAAGCAGACTGATGTACACAAGCTCTGACTGGGGATGGACATTCTATAATTCAACCTCCACTGTCCCAGGTTCCATTAGTACATGTAAGGACCCTGCTGCCAACCTGAACTGGGACACCAGACACCCTTATTGACACCAGGCATCCTTCCTCTGCCTGCTGCATTCAGTCTGGGTAGGCATTAGTTCAACATGTTCTCTCTATGGTTCTCTCCAGTGGTCCAGGTGGTGGTGGTGGTGGGTAGGAGGGAGGGAGAGTACAACACATAGTACAGACAAGCTATACAAAGAATAGGGTATGGGTGCTCTCCAAGAAGCCAAGAGCCCTATATCTTCTGTGTGACCTAAAGCCCAAGGAGAGCAGTGACTTGACAATCAGCCTAGACCAAGTACTGGTCCCAGTAGGAGACCAACTTATACTTGGTATTGGGGGCACGTTTTCTCTATAGCCAATATTGCTTCAGTTTGGGCATGGGGCAGAGATGCCACTAGTCTGTCATAGGGGTAGTGAGTCTGGCTCACATCTCAAGCAACAAAGCTGGTGGTTGGGGGTCTAACAGTCCTCTTATGACCCTCCCCTCCCAGGAGGCTGTGCAGAGGTGTTCTGCAGACCATGAACTGAACACTAGTCCCAGACATTCATGAGCACAGTGTGAGGCTCCTGACCACCACCCAGCAGCCCCTTCTTCTGGCACTAAAGACCCCCAGAGAAGATGGGGAGGAAAAAGATTCAGATCCAGCGAATCACTGATGAGCGGAACCGCCAGGTGAGGAGGTCCCAGAACCCCATGTGGTAGATGAGCAAGGGCAGGGAGCCAGCTGCTATCACCCATGACCAGTTCTAGAAGAGGGCTTTTTTGGAAGCCCAGGGACTCACTGGAGGTTGTAACAAAGGTGGGGTCTGAATGGAGAGAGGAACACCTTTGTGTACCTCTTTAGTTCTGCTGGTCTGAGATAGGCCAGGGCCTCCTCATACCATTGCCATGCCCACAGCTCCCTCATCCCAACAGGAATCCTCCCTTTCCGTGCCTGGGAGCTGTCTTGCTCTTCTCATCCCACTGCAGAGAGATGTGGCCTCCTTTCCCATCAGAGGCTGATGTGTCTTGGCTGTGGTCTGGTCAGGGCTACTATTTTGTTCCTTTCTAGATCAAGGGTTTCCATAGACAGTGACTGAGTCACCCTGAAAGCAGAACTCCAGGGGAGGGGCTGTGTCCAGATACCTATGGGCAGAGGGACTCTTGTTAGACCTGGCCACCCACTACTCTCCTGCAGGTGACATTCACCAAGCGGAAGTTTGGGCTGATGAAGAAGGCCTACGAGCTGAGTGTGCTATGTGACTGCGAGATTGCACTCATCATCTTCAACCACTCTAACAAGCTGTTTCAGTATGCCAGCACCGACATGGACAAAGTGCTGCTCAAGTACACGGAGTACAACGAACCGCATGAGAGCCGCACCAATGCTGACATCATTGAGGTGCGCCTGTGCCCGCCTCTGTCCATGTGTAAACCCATCTCTTCTCCTGAACCAAGGCCCCAAGGAAGGAGGGGCATGACAGCAAAGGCATGAGACATGTAGCCAGTACCAGGCTTCAGCTTGACTTAGGCAGTGTGTGCCAGGTCTGAGGCGCATCCTGTGTCTTCTCTGTCTCTTTAGAGCCTCCTTCCTTCATCCTCTGGGATATTCCTTTTTGTGTCTCCCTCTTTGTTCCCACCTCTCCTTTCTGTCCTGTGTGGCTCTTGCCTTCTGTTTCAGAGTCAAATTTTGAAATGTTGAGGACTTGAGCTTTAGGACTCATCTCTGGTCTTTACTGGTACATGGCCTTAGGCAGGTGGTCTGGGCTGTGGTCTCTTCCACAGACTGAGCAGTGCTGACTTACAAGAGTGTTCTGTGAACAAATGAGACAGCCAGCTCATGCTTCTCACTCTAGGGTGCCAACATGGGGTACAGAGGTTAAGAGTACTGGTTGCTCTTCCAGAGGAGCTGGGTTTGATTCCCATAGGGCAGCTCACAACTGCCTGTAACTCTAGTCCCAAGGGATCCACTCTCTTCTGACCCCACAGGCACCAGGCACTCATGTGATACACATACATACCGGCAAAACAGACATACACATGAGATAAAATAAAAATAAGCCAGGTGGTGGTGGTGCACACCTTTAATCCCAGCACTCGGGAGACAGAGGCAGGTGGATCTCTGTGAGTTCGAAACCAGCCTGGTCTACAGAGTGAGTTCCAGGGCAGACGAGGATACACAGTGAAACCCTGTCTTAAAAAGAAAAAAAAAAAAAAAAGTAAAAATGAAGCAAGGGCTGGGGAGATGGCTTAACAGGTAAAAGCACTTAATGCCAAGTCTGATGACCTGACTTTAAATCCCAGGATCCTTGTGATAGAAGGAAGAGAACCAACACCTGCAGGTTGTCCTCTGACATGCACTCATGTGCCATGGCATATACACACACACACACAAACACACACACACACACACGCACGCGCGCGCGCGCAAGCACACGTGATTTTAAAAAAATGAAGCAAGTATCTTTAAAGTTTTGAGCAACCACAAGCACTTGGGTCTGCCACAGGTACACTCTAAGGTCATGTGCAAGGCTTTGGCCCCTGGGAGAATCTGGGGTGGTAAGTGCAGGTCCTTTGTGCTCTCCTGTGTCCTCCTCTCCTATCTCCATCCAGCTCGGTCACCTAAATAGAACTTAGGGGTTTGGATGGGCAGAGTTCCCCACCCCTAAACACATCCTTAGGGGAACAGGCTGGGGTGACAGAGTCGTGTAATATACCTGCCCCATGCCTAGGTTAAGTCCACTTCACTCAGGACCCCAAGGGAGCATTGTAGGGAGGAGAATGGCTCTGAGGGAGGGACTGGAGCTTCTGGAAACCATGGGAGAGAAGGTTGGAGAAGAACAGGGGATCCTTGGGAGGAGCTTGGAGGAGGCAGGAGGACCATTGCTGGCTGGCTGGCTGACTGAGTGGTGCGGTTGCAGACCCTGAGGAAGAAGGGTTTCAACGGCTGTGACAGCCCAGAGCCGGATGGGGAGGACTCACTGGAGCAGAGCCCCCTGCTGGAGGACAAGTACCGGCGGGCCAGTGAGGAGTTGGATGGGCTCTTCAGGCGCTATGGGGTGAGCCCTCCTCACCTTTTCTGTGGTCCCCTTCCGGCCCCTCCCCCAGGCGCTGCACAAGAAGCACAGGGAGTGTGAGAGCCCTGAGGTGGACGAGGCGTTTGCCCTGACCCCCCAGACGGAGGAGAAGTATAAAAAGATAGACGAGGAATTTGATAAGATGATGCAGAGTTATAGACTGGCCGTGAGTAGTCGCATGGAGGAGAGCCTCCTGTGCTGCATGGTGTGGCTTCACCCAGCCTTGCCCGGCCCGTGGCTGCCTCTGATGGGTGCACTAGGATGAGCCATCTTGGAGCTGGTACTGACCACTGAGGAATTCCTGACCTCGGTCTTGATAACCCTCTTCTTATAAAGTCCTTGCATAAGCTAGAGAGACAGGCATTCTCCCCTCACCAACAAAAAGTACAGATACCTTGAGTCTTTAGAGGACAAAAAAGAGTATGTTCTTTGTCCTGTTGTTTTGGGGGAGGCCCCCTTGGGCTGCTTTGGCACCCCTGCCTAAGGCATTCAGCTTTGTTTAAAGGAGGTGGAACTGCTAAAGGGAAGGGAGAGGGGTGGGCTTGAACTGCTCCTGAAGCAGGCCAAATGGTGGATGGCAACTTAGTGAAGCCGTATTCTTAGAAGTGTGTGAGTTGGGTCTGTATGCAGGGCACTAACTTGCTCCCAGTGTGTCCTGCCTGGCTGAGGACTAACCCACCTCCACTGGGGGTATCCAGTCCTGTCTGCAGGGGGCAGAGCCTTGCTCTTCTGCCTTGGACCAGAGCTATATTACAAGGTGCTCTCATCTTTCTGATGGGAGGTAGGTAGGATTACAAAAGGGCTGAAGGCAGGGAGTCCAAGGTGCTGGCCCTTGGAGATATAGTCCAGGAACCAAAGAACCCTTGTGCCTACCCTCTTGGGCAAAATGGGTCCAGGTGGAAAGATTCACCTGGTGTGACACCGCCTCCGTCTTTCTGTCTAGTCATCTGTTCCGGCCCCCAACTTTGCCCTTCCCCTCACAGTGCCCGTGTCCAATCAGAGCTCCATGCAGTTCAGCAATCCCAGTGGCTCTCTGGTCACTCCTTCCCTGGTGACATCATCCCTTACGGACCCACGGCTCCTGTCCCCCCAGCAGCCAGCACTACAGAGAAACAGTGTTTCTCCAGGCCTGCCCCAGCGACCTGCTAGTGCAGGTAAGTGGGCTGGAGGGTGAATTGCTAAGGCGGAAGTGAGCCTCTGGGCTTCCATTTTCAATGGTGGGTCTTCCCTTCACAGAATTCCTGCATGTGTATGACTCTTGAGGGGGAAAAGCCTAGGACTCCTAAGGGACCCCCCCCCCCTTCTTGTCCAGTCCCAAGACAAAGCTCACGGTAGCTCTGCTTTTCTCCCAGGAGCCATGCTGGGTGGAGACCTCAACAGTGCTAATGGAGCCTGCCCCAGTCCCGTTGGTGAGTGTAGCTGCCTTCCACAGGGTGGCTCAGAGGGACCAGAGACTTAAAAGAAAGGGGAGGAGAAATGGCAAGACCTAAGCAGGAGGCATCAGAAAATTTTTGTTTTTGTTTTTTGAGACAGGGTTTATCTGTATTGCTTTGGAGGCTGTCCTGGAACTTACTCTGTAGACCAGGCAGGCCTCAAACTCAAAGAGATCCTCCTGCCTCTGCCTGCTGAGTGTTGGGATTAAAGGTGTGAGCCACCAAAGCCCGGCCAGGCCCCTGGATTATTTTGGAGTCTACAGCAGTGACTAGTTAGAGTGACTAGTCACTGGGTCCAGGTGGAAAGGTTCACCTGGTGTGACACCACCTCCGTCTTTCTGTCTAGTCATCTGTTCCGGCCCCCAACTTTGCCATGCCTGTCACAGTGCCCGTGTCCAATCAGAGCTCCATGCAGTTCAGCAATCCCAGTGGCTCTCTGGTCACTCCTTCCCAGTGACTAGTACTAGAGGTACAGGTCAGGAAAACTAAGAATGCATCTACAGTGTATTGACGTGGAAAGTCTAGGAGACAAGTCTCACTATGTAGTCCTAGCTGGCCTGGAACTTGCTGTGTAGACCCAGATGCCATCAATTCATAGAATCCACCTGCCTCTGCTACCTGAGTGCTGGGATTAAAGGCGTGTGCCACCATGCCTGACCATGGTCCATCATTTTCAAACAAAAGGGACATCTTGCTGGGATTAGAACTTACCTAGACAAATGGTAGGCATGCACCACCCATGCACACAGGCCTCTGTGCTCCCATTGAGTCACCATACAGATATGTACCTGTGGGTATTCATACCAGAGTCACAGAAAGAAACTCCTGCTACCCCTGTGCCCAGCCACTTCCAGCCATTCTTGATCTTGGTGTGTGCTAGTGTCTGGCTGGTGACCTTCTAATGTCACCATTGACGTCACCCTGTCATTCTTGCCATTCCCAGAGTGATCTTGGAGTTGGGATAGAGACAGCAACATACTGTGTGCTCTTGGGACAGAGCAAGGTGGGATTTTGCACTGTAGTCACCACATACATTCCTGAACCTTAGACTCCCCCAGCTCAGTCTCAGCCAATGAACCACCCCTTTCCTGTTCTGGTTATTACCGGTCCTGTGTAAAGTGGGTGGGGGTGAGGGTACCTCAGCAATAGTTGTGCATTGGCGTCATGAAATTATGTACTAGAGATGTACCCCCTCCTTTCCTTGCCCATGGGACCTTGAACCCAGAATTGGGAACTCAGTGAGATGCCCTGGGCAAGTGACCACACCTCTCTCAACTAGTGCCATGCTTCCCCCTCTGCCCAGAACTGCTAATGCCCATCCCATGTGGCTCCCAGGGCTGGTGTGAACATGTATGATATACTGTGTGTGGAAGGCCTGTGCCTTGCAGAGTGCAGAACAAATATAAAAGATAGTTGTGATGCCTTTATCCCATTCTAGTTACGGTCGTGACAGCATCATCAGCCCTGGTGCCAGTAACACCATCACCGGCATTCAGTGGCCTGTCTCCCCCCAGGCTGCAGGCTTGTCTTATGCTGATCAAAAGCAGAGATACAGTTCCTGGCAAGGAAGCCATCTAAATGGTTAGCTAGCCCTGGCGATCTGTCTCCTTAATGAAGACCAGATCATAGCCTGCCCCATCCTTTGCCACTGTGGTCCTTGTGCACCCTGTGAGAAGTAGACGGAGGGGTCTAAGTGCTAGCTGGGCAGAGGCATGGCTGCAGGGCTGTGTTGTGTGCCCAGGGCGGACAGTGGCAGGAGAGGCTTTCTCTGTGTTCCCACTAGCCCCACACTCCCACTGGCCACATTACTTTGGCTTGGAAGCTGAGTTTGGGCTGAGGTCGTTGGGACCATGGCTTTAGGCTGTTCAGTGCCCATGTGGAACCATAGCATGCCTCTGAGGTCCTCCAGGTGACAAATGTGCCTGTCTGGGGCAGTTGGCAGGACAGAAGGCAGGCCAGCATTTTTCCTTTCCTCATCTCACCTCTCCAGGGAATGGCTACGTCAGTGCCCGAGCTTCCCCTGGCCTCCTCCCTGTGGCTAATGGCAACAGCCTAAACAAAGTCATCCCTGCCAAGTCTCCGCCCCCACCCACCCACAACACCCAGCTTGGAGCCCCCAGCCGCAAGCCTGATCTGAGGGTCATCACTTCCCAGGGAGGCAAAGGGCTAATGCATCATTTGGTGAGTGTGTTTCTGGGTCATGGCAGGGGCTGGGAGGTGGGAAGGAAAGAGTGACCTCTAGCAAGAGAAATGAAGGTTAGTTGTTTGTAGGACTGAGGGGGGAAAGAGAATAGGTTTTTTTGGGGGGGGGGTGAACCTTTTTTTCTCTGAGGCCTTTTGTGAGGTTACAGCACAGTAGTGCTGGCCAGAGGGTAGTAGAAATGAACAGGGATAGGAGAAAAGGTTCTGTGATGGAGAGGATGATAAAAGGAATTCACACTGCAGCATGAGAATAAGGACTAGCTCACAGTGTCTGATTGGTGGAGGCCAGGTTACAGCATTTTTCTGGATATCAGATGGCTAGAATATCTAGATATATCCTGCTGGGCCAGAAAGAACACTCTGCTCTCAGGCAGACAGGTGGATGGGGTGGCTATGTGGGAAGGACAGAAGCCTGAACATCCTCTTGGCTTTATTTCTGCTCCCAGACTGAGGACCATTTAGATCTGGTAAGTGTGGCTGAGATAAGCAGTGCTTTTGGGTTCCAGCTTTGCCTGTGTTATTCAGTCTGCAGCATGAATATGAGTGCCAGTCTTCTCCCTGTGTGTTTAACACGTGGTGTTTAGTTCCTGGTTGTCTGTCAGGAGCTGTGCTTAGAGCTGAGTGAGATATTGAGGTGAATGGGGCAGCGGGAAGGGCTGGACATGGCATGCATATGTATCTGTGTGTGCCTGGGTGTCTATGTATTACCACATTTATTCACACACATATATTTGTGTGCATCTGGAAAAGAGCATGAGCTGATTCCCAGACCTTTGAGGCCCCAGCCAGATGCCTGAATTGAGCCTCTGAATCCCACTGGCTGTCTGACTCCACATAGGCCCACGCAACACTGGAACCCAAGACACGGACCTAATTCTTAGAGGAAAATCTAGAAAAGTCAGTTTTCAAGGGGGAGCTGAGCCCTGAGGCAGGACTGAAATCGTTCTTAGCAAGGACTTCCCTGCTGCCTCTTTGCTAGCTCCTATCCTGAGCCCATCTCAGGCACTCATACAGCCCTCCCATGCTTGCATACTCACCGTCAGCCAGGAAAGAGGAGGGCGCTTCCTCCCCAGCTTGCTGACAGGAGGCCAGAAAGGCTGGAAAAGGCAAGCAGGCTTTGGCGGCCAACACACCGGCAGTTTCGGCCCCAGCGTGGAGTTGGAATAAACAAGTGACTCAGCAGCAGATGGAGCTGACAGCCCTAAACACGTGTGTGCATACATGCCATCACATGCCACCCCAGATCCCACATTCCATTCGCAGATGCTAGTGTATATCTCCAGGGGCATCTGCTACTGTAATGGGTGTAGAGGAGACCCCAGTGGTTCTAACCCAAGGGAGACCACAGCGCTTCCTTCTGTCCTTCCACCCAGGGGCCAGGGCTGTGTTCACGTTGAGCTCCAGGCTGTCCCTATGCCTTCCTTTCTGCATGGGTGCAGATGCAAGTGAATCTGTGCATGCTTTTCTCTGTGAGTCTTCCATCCTTGTGTGTGTGTGTCTGTGGGCCTCCAGGCTATGGTACCTTCCCTTGGAATTCAGGGACCTAGTTCAGATGTAGTATGGTGGACCGCCTTGAGGCAGCCCACCCATTTGCCATCTCTTGACAGACAGTTTTCTCCTACAGAACAATGCCCAGCGCCTTGGGGTCTCCCAGTCTACCCACTCGCTTACCACCCCGGTGGTTTCCGTGGCAACACCAAGTTTACTCAGCCAGGGCCTCCCCTTCTCCTCCATGCCCACTGCCTACAACACAGGTGAGTGTTCCTGTAACTTGGTACATCGTGCACTTGTACTTAGGGCAGGCGAGTGACCAGAGAAGGAGAATTAGAATGCTGGATAGGCCCCAATCCAAGGAAGGTTCTCCATTAATTAGTGTTGTAGTTAGTAGATGAAACAAATAAAAACAGGGTGCCAGGCTTGGGGTAAAGTGATTTGGTAAAGAGTTTAACTTGAAGGCATGCAGCCTTGGGTTCGGTCTAGCACTTCATAAGCCAGATGTGGTAGCTAGCACATCTGTAACCTGAGCACTCAGGAGGTGGGCACCAGAGGATCAGAAGTTCAGTGTTACCCTCAGCTACAAAGGAAGCTAAGTCCAACTTGAGCTACACGAGACCTGACTAAAGAAAGGGCTTAACAATTAGGAGTACTTGCTGCTCTTCCAGAAAGCCAAAGTTCAGTTCCCAGAACTCACACTGGGTTACTCACAGCTACTCACATCCTATAACTCCAGCTCTAGGGAATCCAAGACCCTCTTCTGGCCTTTAGACACCTACACACGTGTGGCATACACACACACACATACACAGACAAAAATAATATTTTTACGTTTATAAACAGAAATAACAAAATTCTTGGGTAAATTTGAACTTCAGATAAAACAAGTACATTCTTTATGCTAAAATGTATCCCAAAAACATGCTTATGTTTTTTTTTTTTAATGCATTATTTATCAGAAATCTGCTTTGAACTGAGTATCTTTTACTTTTAACATAGGTCCTTATGGAAGAAAAACCCCTGTCCAGTGTGGGGGGTGAGGGGCAGGATGGAGAGGTGGCCACCAGGTTAATAGATGTGAGGTTTGAACCCGGGGAAGAGAACATGATTAGTGCAGCAAAGCTTCCTGGAGGTGAAGAACAAGTGAGACAAGCAGCTGGGGGGTGCAGAGTGGGTTTGCTCAGTGCAGCAGTGAGTGGGAGGCAGGATAAGGCTAGGGAAGGCTGGGTGGGTCTGAAGGTGAGCCGCTACCTGGGGACATGGGGAAGGCCTCTGGATAGAACTGTGGTAGGCTGACATGGGTCTCCAGGGTTCTGATTTTACCAGCCACTCATACCTTCCCCCAGAACAATGTGCAATGTTCCCAACCTTCCTTGCCTGCCTTTTCACACTGTGTTGCTGTGTCTGTCAGAGACCTGCTGGTGGGGAAATGCTTTGTCACCTAGTTTCAGAGCTTTTGGCTGTAGGCTCTTTCCCAACAAGGAGGCCATTTCCCACCTCAACCACTGGCCCTCATAGTTGAATGACCTATGCTCAGACAGTTTGTGTGGTGAGAATAAACTAAACCAGAAGACCCCAAACTCTCCACCTCCCTAAGTCCTCTTAAAGCTGAAGCAAGTTAAGGTATAGACTCCACTACAGATACCCACAAATCCTGCCTTTGCCCTTCTTCCCAGCAGTGGAAGAAATCCTGAGTGGCATGCAGCAGCCTAGTTAGTTCATGCTTCTACAGGGACAGGCTATTGACTCCAGGCAGACTTTCCTGCCCAAATAGCTGGGGAAAGGCTGTTTTAGAAATGGCACCCTGTGGGCTTGTCTCCTGTCAGGGAATATTAGTAGATGAGAGGACTATGAGGCTCTTCTAGCCTGCCCCCTCACCCCACCCTAAGGGTAAGGAGAAGTCTTCCTGAGTCTAACAGGACAGTGAGCTAAACACAGCTCAGGTCTCCTTGGAAGCTTTGTTTGGGAATCCTACCATGTTGACTCTCTGCTTTTCCCATTCAGTCTTGTGAAAGAGGAGGGAAGTTAGTGTGCATCAGTGAACCTGAAACAGGCTCTCAACAGAATTGGCCATGGACTCCTGTATCACTGGGGTGTCAAACAGTTTTGGCCTCCGAGAAAGCAGGGCTCCAGTTCCTATTGCCACAGGAGTAGCTAAGCAGCCTTCTGTCAGCAGCAGACATTTGTGGGTACCCCATATAGTGTAAGCCAAACCTCAGCAGGTGTTGGTGATCTACTCTGGTAATAGTCTTCATAAGAGATGGGCCCAGCCCTGTAGACACAGCTTCAGAGGTCTGTTCTGTCTGTGATGACTACCACAACAGCTTGAGGAGGCAGCCAGGTGGCCTGGGGCTTGACCTCCAGGCCCTTAGGAAATAGCTTCCCAGTAAATAACGCTAGTGTGGTGGGATGGGGCAGAGTTGGGTTGTTCTGATCCCTCCCTACATCCTTGGGCAAGGCTCTGCCCTGTTCTGGACCTGGCTTCCTTTTTTCCTTTTTTTATAGTTAGTCCTAGGGCCTACTTTTTGCTCTTACACCGCTATTTTTTGTTGTTGATTTTGGTTGGTTGGTTTTGGGTTTGGGGTTTTGGGTTTTTTGAGGTAGGTTTTCTCTGTGTAGCCCTGGCTGTCCTCACTATGTAGACTAGGGTGACCTCAAACTTACTTGCCTCTGCTCCCAAGTACACCACCACCAGCTCTCTTGCACAGCATTGAAAACCAGTATCCAGGTGTCTGGAGAGATGGGTCAGTGATTAAAAGCACTGGCTGCTCTTTAGAGGACCTGGGTTCAATTCCTGGCACCAACATGGCAGCTTATAACTAACCCCAGTTTTAGGGCACACGACATCCTCACACATACATATATGTAGGCAAAACACCAATATACTTAAAATAAAAATAAATTATTTTTTTAATTCTAGGGAAAAAACCTTAAAAACATAAAAAACAAACAAACAAAAAACCTAGTAACTGGATTGACCAGGCTATAGTGAAGGTTAAAGGTACTAGAAAAAGCTGGGCATAGTGGTATACACTTTTAATCCCAGTACTCAGTAGTCAGAGGCAGGCAAATATCTATTAGTTCAAAGCCAGCCTGACCTACATACTGAATTCTAGGTCAGCCAGGGCTACATAGTGTGACCCTGTCTCAAAAAATAAATAAATAAATAAAATTGTTGGAGAGGCTTGAAGTGCAGAGCAGATCAGTAGATCAGTGGTGAGTTCTTGCCTAGCATGTGCAAGACCTGCACTGTGGAAAAACAATAAATAAAAGCAATGAAGTGGCCAGGGCTCTCAAGAGAGCTACCACTAGCTTTTCCCATGAACAGGCAACTCCTCAAACCTGAGGCTGCATCCGTCTCCTGTGAGCAGTGGTGTTTGGTAAATCTTGGAGTGTTCACTAGGAGCTCGGTGCTGTTGCTGTCCTGCCTACCTTCTATAGGACATGCTGCTTGCTTATCCTTGATGGCTCTGCTGCCCCTGCTAATCTCATAGTGAGGTTGCCAAGAATCTCTCCTCCTAACTGTGGGTGTTAGAGAGGTCACAGGCAGGGATATAGCAAGTGACCTTGAATTCACTGTGACTGGATGGCGCATCTCTTTCTAGCATGTCTTCCCGCTGTGTACACATCTCTGTGGCTTTTGTGGAAGGCATTTCTAAATGCCTCAGATACGATACAGCATGAGGCATACTAGAGCTGTGTGAGTGGTGAGTTGCTTAACTGGTCACCTATTAACAGGGCAGATGGCATAGTGTTTTCCTTAAGATCAGTGCTAAGCAAAGCAACTTCCCCCATAATGCAATGTTCCGCAGCTTAGGTCCTGAAGCCCCCTTGTGCTTCAGGGACATGAGTGCTGGTGGCAGACTCTTTTCTTCTGTCTCTATGCAAGCAGCAGCTTGAGCCCTGTTTTTGTTGTTGTCATTTGGTTGTTTGGTTGTTTTTTTGAGACAGGGTTTCTCTGTGTAGCTTTGGAGCCTGTCCTGGCACTGGCTCTATAGACCAGGCTCTGCTTGCCTCTGCCTCCCAAATGCTGGGATTAAAGGTATGTGCTACCACTGCCCAGCTTAACTTGAGCCCTGTTTAGGGAGAGTCTAGACATGTGGGTTCAAGGAAGAAGGTAGAATGCCTGTGCCTGTGGCCAGTTTGCCCCCAGAGCCTCTCCTTGGCCTGACACTAGACAGCTGAAGAGACTGCTGTTACACCGATACTGGCCTTCTTCATTTCCCTTCCTCATTTTTTTTGTCACTGTCCTTATAAAAGCAGTACTTGATTGATTTTTAAAATTGATGCCATTTTAAATCTATGAGTGTCATTTTCATGAATGTCTTCATTCTTTCACATCTGTGGTTAGACACCAGCTGTCCTCCCCAAAGGGGTGGGTGAGGTGCTCCCCCTCCAGGTTCCCCTCGCTTTCTCTTACCACAGATTACCAGCTATCCAGTGCAGAGCTATCCTCCTTACCAGCCTTCAGCTCACCTGCAGGGCTGGCACTAGGCAATGTCACCGCCTGGCAACAGCCCCAGCAGCCCCAGCAGCCACAACAACCACAGCCGCCACAGTCACAGCCACAGCCACAGCCGCCACAGCAGCCACCTCAGCAACAGCCCCACTTGGTCCCCGTATCTCTCAGCAACCTCATGTGAGTCTTTGGGAGGCTTTCCATGGGGATGGTAGGGAGTGTGGGACAGGTCTCCTTGGAGTTGTCCATGTTCAGTAAGTGGCAGTCATGAGCCCTTCCTCCCAGCCAGCAGGGCTAAGGGTGTGGGCTTTAGAAGATGGTGTGGACAGAATGGAGCTAACACTCACTTCTCTTCTTTCCCTTTGACACATGTCTCCCTCTTCTCCCAACTCCCCACCCTCATTCTGTTCTGTTTTTACCCTTTGGTGACTTCTTTCCACTTTTTCTGTTATTGCCTCCTATGTTTCTGACCCCTGAACTCCAGCCCAGGCAGCCCCTTGCCCCATGTGGGTGCTGCTCTCACTGTCACCACCCACCCCCACATCAGCATCAAGTCAGAACCAGTGTCCCCAAGCCGCGAACGCAGCCCTGCACCTCCTCCACCAGCTGTGTTCCCAGCTGCCCGCCCTGAGCCTGGTGAAGGTCTCAGCAGCCCAGCTGGAGGATCCTATGAGACCGGGGACCGGGATGATGGACGGGGGGACTTTGGGCCCACACTAGGCCTGCTGCGCCCAGCCCCAGAGCCTGAGGCTGATGGCTCAGCTGTGAAGAGGATGCGGCTGGATACTTGGGTACTGTAATATTGCCCTTCTGTCTGCCGGTGTCTGCATCACCCAGGGACTGCCCCACACGCACTCAGCCTGCTTTCTTTCCCACCCGAGAGGCCTTGTGGCCAGGCATTCCTTTTGGGTCAGTACTCACAGCCCTTGACCCCCTCCTTGCAGCATTGTGCCCTGCTCAGTGACCTCCAGCTGGCCTCGCCCTAGAGTTTTACCCCTTGGGAAGAGGGTTGGGGTGCATCCTATAGGCCAGGCTGCCCCTCACACCACCTTTTCCATCTCCTCTCTTCACAGACATTAAAGTGACGGTTCCCACTCCCTCCTCTCTGCCTCCCTGATGAAGAGTTGACAATCTCACCGCCCACCCCTCCCTGTCCTGGGCTCCTCCCGCTCGATCCCCCACTTCCTTTTCTTCTGCTCCATGTCCTGTTGATGGTTACATTTGTGTATAATTATATTATTATTATTATTATTATTATTATTATTATTATTATATTTTTAAATTCGAATTCTCGCTTTAGAGAGAGGGATGCTCTTGCCCCTTTCTTGGCCCCACCATTTTCACTGGTGGGGGACTCTCTTTATTGCGGGAAGGGGGGGACACTTTGCACGTTGTACACATATGCTGCAGGAATGGGGGGCGGTAGGCCTTGGAAAAGGACAGGTGCCGAGCCCTGCATGTGGAGCCCTCCCATCCCATTCCCAGACAGGTGTAAAGAACCAAAAACTATACAACAACTGAAACCCGTACAGTCGACTGAAACCCCAAAGCTGGCTTGATGATGGGTTTGTGTCTCAGGGACAGGAAGAGGTAGATCTCTGCTTCTGGGCTGTTCATGGCTAATAACCCATCTTGGTCCCTCCAGCTTCCTGCGTACACACCACACTCACTGATTCTGGGTACTGCACCACAAGATCTGGGTGCTATGCTTGGCAGGCTGCCTGGGAATCTGAGGCCAGGGCAGGGGCTTGAAGTAGGAACCTCTCTGGAGGAATCATTGGAGGGAGACAGCTGTAAGAAAGAGGGCTAATGAGGGCGTAAGGACTGGGTGTGATGAATTGGGACCCTATCCCTGGCTTTTCCTTTAAAATGTACAGTGCAATAGATCCCCAACCCTCAGCCTACCCCAACCCTAGAAAGCTGGTCATGTACTGGAAGAGTTGGGAGAGGACCTTCATCGAAGTGGCTCTAGGGTGGGTCAGAGTCAGCCTTTGGTTCCCTGGGGCACTGAGGGCAGGAGGCCTGTCAGGGGCAGGCATGGGGCAAGCACCTCTCTGTTCTGCATATCGGTACCCAGAAGAGTGCACACTGGGCACACAGCATGGTCTGTGGAGCTAGAGGTCCCTATAGATGAGGCCCCTCCCCCATCCTCCTAGCTCCTGCCCCTGACCCACCTCCCAGCTCTTTGCGTGCTCCTTGTCTCGCTACCTCCTGTCCCTCCACCTCCAGGCCACACCCCAAACCTGCCCTCTTGCTACTGTAATTGTAAATAGCGACCTTCCAAAATGTTAGTGGTTAACAGTCCAGGAAACTGTTGTGTTTGTTGTTGTTGTATTGATATGAAATGAGATTCTATTTTTGTCAAAGTATATTGTAATAATAATGACTCAAATGGCCCGTACTGTACAGATGGGATTCTTCTGCTGTTCTTGCCTTCCTCTCCCAGACTTGTGCTTTGTCGCCTCCTCAGTGGGGCTTCAGGCAAGCACCCAGGGGCAGTGCAAGCATTGGGTCCTAAGGCCTCTTGCTGAATCTGAGATCAAACTGGAGGGAATAGACACACCCCCAGCCTGCTGTCTGTCACCACCCCTCCCCATTCCTCTTCTTCCTCACCCAGGGGAGGGGATGGGAGGCAGCACACACTCCCTTGGGGCTTCCTCCCAGTTGGAGGGTTGAGTTAGACAAGGCTCAGTGTTGTAGTAAGATGGTCTTTGCCCACCTGTGACCCAGCCTTTTGTAGTATTTGACACTTGATGCAGGGAAGGAGCCAGAAGCGGGGGTGTGAGCATGCTCTCGGGGGCGTATCTGGGTGCACCCTGTATTTATGTGTTTGTATGCAGCTGTGTGGATGTACCTTTGAGTGCCTCTGAGTCCAGTGGGTGTATTCGTAAATCTTATGTGACTCAGGCTCCAAGGGCCTCTGTGTCTGTGTGGTTGGGTGTGTTTACACAGGGATAGGTGGCTTCCAGTTCTGTAGCTCTCACTCCCCTCTTCCCTGGGCTGCTCTCAGTCCTAAAACATTTGTACTAAAGTTATAGGGAGTTGCTAGTTGGCCATCTGCTTCTCCCCACAGCCTACCTCCACCAGGGCCTCACTCGAGGAGCTCTGTCTCCATATGGCTGTCCACTAGTCCCACCCAGACCAGTTCTACCCTGGAGTTCTCACTTGTTTGTGGAGCAAACTCCAGTTCCTCTTCCTTCTGGGACCTTTTGCCTTCCATAAGGCAGGGACCCTCCTTTACCCAGAGCTTCACCCCAGTAGCTGACCAGGCCAGGGTGTCACACACAGATCCTGGCTTCCCACCCCTCCTCACAGTTCCTAGAGAGAGTTTTAAGACTTGCTTAAGGCCTTGAAAGAAGCCAGGGTGTGGTCCTGTGCAGAAAAGCAACTGGTACATTGTAGGCCCTCAGTAAATGCTGAATGGGTGAATGATAGGTGCTCAATGAATGGAATCACTGGCCTCTTCTCAGGCCACATTTCTAGGCTGAGCTTGGCCACCGATACAGCTCAGGGTGAGGCCCCTGAAGTTCACAGTGTGCTACTCAAGTTTGCCATCTGCTTCCTGAAAGTAAACCTGGCTTCTGATTGCCATGTATGGGTGTATGTGCGTGTGTGTGTGTTCGTCTCTGTCCCTGACAGTAGGGACAGTCTGAATGAATATGTGACGTTTCTGCAGTTCAGTATCTCCAGGTTTCTCCTGGAGCTATGTAGGGGCTTCTGGCTGGCCAGGCAAATGGGTCCCTTGAACCCAGACCTCAAATGGGGACTTATTTTCTTCCTCTCACAAGCCAAATTTGCCTCCTATCCACTCCCTCTGCAAAACTGGGTATTTGCCAAAGTAGCCTCTGGTGTCATCCAGTGCCCTTCCCACCCAGGTTTCCCTCAGCTTTCAGGGATAGTGGGACTGAGGGCCACCCCACATGCCTCAGTGGAACACATTCCCTCCACCCCCAGCAGTGCGCTCGACCATCCCTCCCCACCTTGGACAGGAAGGAAGATGCACCTTCTCTTATTGGTTATTTATTTGTTTGGAGAGACAGAAATGATGTAAAAGTATCTAAAAATCTCTCTATCTCTATATATTTTTAACTGACTCTGGAACCCCCTGTGGGGGAATATAGGCTCTCCTGGAGGCTGGGAGCTCCTTGTTCTACCCCCTTCTGCCTCCTGCTCAAGCAGAGGGATGGGACTTAATGGGGCAGGAGGACTAAGACTCCCAAGGAGAATCTGAATTCTCTACCCCATTCAAGTCCTAGAGAGAGGCAAGTAGGAGGGGTGGGGCCAGCCAAGAGGTGACCCATCCCCAAACTTGACAATCACCCACACTCCTGGCTCCTGGGTCTTGGGGCAGGGTGAGTCCAAGTGTGTGGCTGTCGAATTGTTTTCATTATTTCTTTCCGTGCTGTACGGTGACGCTTTCTAGTACTCTGCACATTAAGAAAAGACAAAGTCCTCGAGATTCTTACAAGTTTGGTTTGAAAACTCTTTCACTATATTTGTTGTAAAGAGGTTTACTATTAAAAGAAAAAAAAAAGAACATGTTTCTGATACCTCAGCCTGGGTTTTGATTTCTTTGGTGCGGCGAGTACCTGGCGTCCCTGGCAGAGTGAGAGTGATTATCTGAGGACAGGCTTCTCAGGCACCCTGAAGGTAGAGGCAGCCCCAGGACTGAGGAGAGGGGTGGTCCAGGTAGAAGCCTTGAAAGGGATCCTGCAACACAGGAAAACCAAATGTTCCTAGGGTTGGGTGCAGCCTTCCCTCTCCAGCCTTTCTTGGCTGACTTCCTTGGCACAGTTAAAACAGATGGAGCCCACTTACACGATTTACCAGTGTCCCTCAGGTCCAGCATCATGCTCCTTCCTCTTAGCACAGCCAGGCTGTCAGCAGACCCGGCAACTGTGGAAGCTCTGCACCTGGTCCATGCCGTGTGCTGAAGCAGCTAAGCACGTGAGAGGCCTTAGCTCAGTGGCTATGCCTGCGCTGTAGTGCTTAAGATGACACGGTCTCCTGATCGGGCTGCTGCTGTGAGAGGACAGGAGTCAAGTTAGGCAAGGCACAGAGTGTGCTCAAGCCTCAGATTTCCATATTGCAAAATACTCATCGTCTGTGTTGGCCCTGCCTTTCTGACAAGGTCACTGTGGATCTCACCTCACGTCTTCCTCAGCAGTGGCAAAGAGATGGTGTCCTGATCAAGAAACGGCTTATAAGATATTGTCCTCCAGGCTGGGGCTGTAGCTCAGTTGATAGAGTGCTTGTCTAGTTCAGCCTCCAGTACCACATAAAAGCATTGTAGCATACACTAGTAATTCTAGGTATAGGCAGGAGGCCCAGAAGTTCAAGGTCATCTTCAGCTCCATAGGGTTACATGAGACCCTGTAAAAGAAAGATACCGCTGTCCTCTAGTGGCTGCTCAGATAGCAGCTTCCATGATGGCCTCCCACTGTCCCTGCCTGCATCTCACACGTATGCCCTTTCGAATGGGAAGTGTGGCTTCTGCTTTTCTTGTTACCTGCCCTTACATTATGCTGTACAGCCAGCCCTGTGGAAAGCCCACATGCTAAGGACCCATGGGCTCCTGCCAGCTGCCATTTGAATGAGGTCATCTTCTCCAGCAGTGTAGTTGCCTAACTTTACCAGACATTGCTCCAGGGGAGAACCTAAAGGTAAGAAGTACTGCCCAGCTCATCCATGCCCATGGGAAGGACTTTTTCTCCGAGGTGACCTCACAACCAAAATCCTTAGCAAAACCTTTCTGCTCAGTGCATCTCCCATCTGCCTCAGACTGTCTGGCCTCCTCTGCCTTCCTAGAAGGTATTGACTGCTGGGGTCTGGGATAAGCCTTAACTGTTACTCACAGACTTCCTGTTCCCTCTCTTCTGGTGTCTTCCCAGTCCCCATGTAGTTCAGTGGTATCTTGGGACTGGATCTGGCCAATAACCAAGGAGCTGTCATGTATATCCCTTCTGTAATACGGGTAGGCCCTGCCTCTCCAAGTGTTAATTCCCTGTCTTGAGCACCCTGCGAAGTGCTGCAAATCAAAGTAGCCTGTGTTGGGTCTGACATCCTCTTCTGGCCTCTACAAACATTGCATGCAGGTGGTGCACAGACATACATACGGGGAGAACATACTCATACATATTTAAAACAGCCTGGATTACTAAGCCGCTCCAGGGTGGTATTGGCACCAGGGGGACCTTTATGTGAATAGAAATGAAACCTGTGCTGTGACTATCCTAACCTGGCCAGCTCAGTGCCTTTCCCACTCAGCCATGGAGCCCTGACTGTTTAAAACCATGATAGTGTGATACAGAGGTCTCTGGACTCAGCATAGTCCAGAGTGTGCTGTAGTTCTGATACTCGCTGGCTGTTCCTATACAGCAGCGCTAACAGGTGCCTCTTTCCTTTAACTTCCACCTGCCCTTCTCCAAAGTATCCTTCCATCTTCAGCCCTGTTGATAATCTGACCCCTTCATGGTCCTCCACAGCTCACAACATACAGTGCAAAGGCCTCTCTGGTTCTGAAGGCCTTCAAAGGGCCAATACAGACCCCCTTCCAGGCTTAGTCCATGCTGTTCCTTGGACTCTAGGTGTACACTAGGAACAGGAAGGAACCTAATGGTTCCTATTTCTCATAGGAACAGGAGACAGAAGGACCAGCAGAAACTGTGCTTTTGAGATGAGAGATCAGGCACACCCACTCTAAACTAGTGGTCTGGGGGGTGTCTTAAGAGGAGCCATTTGAACTGAACTTTTGCAAACATGTAAGAATTTCCTGGGCATATGGGGCCTTAAGGAAAACAAAAAAGAATAGCATATGGAACTGAAGGGGTGGGTAGAGGCTGTGTGAAGGGCCTTCTTTAGCAAGACAGGCTTTATTCTACACATTTAGGCCATCAAAAGAGTTTAAAGGAATGAGTCAGGTTGGCCAGGAGCTGGAGTTCAAGGGCAACCTTGGGTTACCCAGTAAGACCCTATCTCAAAATGAACAAACAAAACTAAAGCAGGGCAGAGATGCATGCATACAATCTAGCATGGGGGAGTAGAGGCAACAGGATCAGGAGTTCAAGGCCATCCTGGACTACATCCTGAACTGGAAGGCAGTCTGGTCTATCTAAGACACTATGTCAAAACACTAAGATAAAAGAAGAAAGCTTGCTGGGCAGTGGTGGCACAAGTCTTTGGTTCCAGTACTTGGGAAGCAGAAGCAGGCAGATTTTTGTAAGTTCAAGGGCAGTCTGGTTTACAGAGCTATTTCTAGGATAGCCTAGGTAGAAGCAGAAGAAAGATTTTGCTAGCAAAAAACTTCTGATAGTAGTGCATTTCAGAAGGATTACTACATCAGAGACAAGAGGCCAGTCAGGAGCCTGTCACAGGGCTGCTTTTTTTTTTTTTTTTTTTTTTTTTAAAGGCAGTTTGAGACAGAATCTCCCTGCATAGCCCTGCTGTCCTGTAATTCACTATGTAGACCAGGCTGGCCTCAAATTTACAGAGATCTGTCTGCCTCTACTAGAATTAAATACATGCACCACCACCACAACTCACATGGCTTAAACTTTCTCACAAACTGTTTTCAGCTGATTCCATGACCTGGATGTACAGATGAATATGCAAATCATGCATTTACTGGAAATGACAAATTTATATTTGTGTGTGGGTGGGTGTGGGGGGCACGTGAACCATGCATCAATGGTGAGTGTCTTCCTCAGTTGCTCTCCACGGAATCTGGAGTTTGCCATTTCAGTCATACTGGCTGACCAACAAGTTCCAAGGGTTTTCCTGTCTCTGCCTCCCAGTGTGGATGACAGGCACAACTACACCCATCTTTGGTGCACGGGACCTGAAGGCATGCTTGTGTCATCTCCATAGCCCAAGAAACTTATTTTAAATAAAATTCTTTTTAACTTTATGTACTTATTTTATATATGAGTGCTCTACATGTACGCCTGCACACCAGAAGAGGACATCAGATCCCATTACAGATGGATGTGGGTGCTGGGAATTGAACTCAGGACCTCTAGAAGAGCAACCAGTGCTCTTGACCCCTCTCCTGAGTTATCTCTCCAGCTCTAAAACTCCTTAAGATTGAAGCACCCAGTTCATCCAAGGCTACATAATGAGATCATATTTAAAAAAAATATTAATGTTTTATATCAATGAGATAGGTTTATTTTTACATAAATCTTGGCTGGATATTTGATAGTTTACAATGTAGACCCTCTTCAATATTTTTCCATAATATTTTGATTTCATAATTGTTAACACTGAGTATACTGCTTGACATAAATATGTAGTGCACAGTTGTATATGTAGCCTGGTCAGTTTTATCAATTTAGAATCACCTGGGAAGAGGCAGCCTCAACAGAAGAGCTGTCTCAGGAGCTGCAGAGATGGACGGCAGTGGTTAGACACTGGCTACTCTTCCAGAGGAACTGGTTAGATTCAATTCCCAGCACCCTCATGGCAGGTAACAACTATAACGCCAGCCCCAAGGGATCCAATGCCCTCTTCTGGCCTCTCTGAGGACAGCACACATGGTGTACATAATGTACATTCAGGCAAACAAACATGCACAAAAATAAAATCTCAAAGAAAATGTTTTTAAAGAATTGCTTCTATCCGCTTGGCCGGTGGCCATGTCTGTGGGACAGCGGTCTTGATGCTAATTAATGTAGGAAGGCTGGGTCCACTGTGGGCAGTTCAGGCAGGTGCTCCTGGGCTTTAATAAGGAGCCAGTAAGCAGTATTCCTGTCTGGTTTCTGCCTCAGTTTCTGCTCTTTCTTCTCAGTGATGGACTGTGACATAGAAGTGTAAACCAAATAAACCCTTTCCTTCCTAAATTGCTCTTAGTCATAGTATTCATCCCAGCAACTGATCAAACTAGATGAGGGCTATGTCAGAAACTGCTGAAAGTTCCGTCCTAATCAGTAGTAGTAGGTGAATGTTGCTGTGACAAAATACCCAACAAAAGAACTTGAGACAAGAAGGGTTTTGGCTCCCAGTCAGCTCCTCGCCTTGCATGTGCAGGAAAAAGCAAGGAGAGATGGATGCTAGCTATCGTTCGGGTCACTTTTATCATTCTGGGTCCTACCTCAACTATCCTAATGAAGAAAAATCCCACAGGCATGCCCAGAGGCTCCTTTCCTGGGTGAGTCAAGATCCTCTTAAGTTGGCAGTGTAAACCATCACATCCACCAAGGCAAAATTCATTTATCCTTTTAAAATGGAACTCAAATCAGCAAGTCAAGTAGCAGCTTTCAAAATCAGGCCTTTGGGGACAGTGATGTGACTCCGAGATCTTGTCTAGTATACAGGAAACTCTGGGCTCACACCTCAGCACCAAAACACGTCAAGGGTGTTGCCGCACACCTGAAATCCCAGTAAGAGAAGCATCAGAAGTTCAAGTTCATCCCTTGCTATATAGTGAGTTCAGGATAACAAGGAATACATGAAACTCGCAGGGCATTGATGGCTCATGCCTTTAATCCCAGCACTCAGGAGGCAGAGGCAGGCGGATCTCTGTGAGTTTGAGACCAGCCTGATCTACAGAGCAAGTTCCAGGACAACCTCCAAAGCAATACAGAGAAACCCTATTGGGGGGGGGGCGTCCCCAAGGATCTTAAAACACTAATTGGAAACAGGCTAGGGAATGACAGTACCCGGCACAGTGCCTACACAGGACATAATTTTATGTGTCTATGTACTACGAGTACCTGAGTGTCCACAGAGGGCAGAACAGTCATCAAGTCTATTGGAACTAATATTACAGACAGTTGTGAACTGTCTGACATGGGTGTTGGAAACTGAATTCTGGTACCAAACACTCTTAATCCATCCCCTACCCCTTCTACCTCTCCTCAGGCCACACGTACACACACACATTTTTCTTTTAAAGAGGAAAATTAAAAATACTCCAACGTGTAACCTTTTGCCACTTCTTTTAAGCTGAAGGACAGGCTCCGTAAGTGCTGCCATATAAAATTGGACTGAGGTCTGGGTTTCTTAGACTTAGACTTCGCTATCAGGTCAGTGGTTCTTAAGAGGCAGAGAACAATTGGTGATGCCTGTCAATTGTTCATGCCACGTGGGCCAGTCCAGTTATTATGGGCCAACTTCTCCGGCCTTGTGATTGTGTGGAAACTTATTTAAGGAACAGCAGATGTGTAAGGAACCCAGGGCGATCCCACCTCAAGCTCTTAAAGCAGTAGTGGAGCCAGTAACCCGGACTTGAACATCTGCAGCCTGAAATCACTGTGTCTCTGCCCGGTCTCCCAGTCCTGGGTCTGCAAAGGAAGAGACAGACAGACAGCCCTGTGGCGTACACAGCCTCCGTTCTTTGCCCCCGGCGTAGCGCAGTTGCTCTCAGTGTGCTGCTGGTCAGCTCCGGCCTTGGGCGGGTTGCTCTGTGCTGGCAGCTCAGCTCCACCCTCCCAGGAGAGCAGCCCACGACCGCTCGCTCCTATTTAGGACATCAGCTGCCACGTGCACGCAGCATGCTGGGTGACCCCGGGCCGGAGACCTGCGGAACGGACGCCGGGTCACGCGCCGGCCAGGCACCGCCCCCACGTGACCCGCGGTGTGTTCCGGCGGGCCATGAAGTGCTTCCGGGTTTCAAAGCAACCCCTCCCCCCCATGCTAAGGAGAAACGGGGGAGGCAAAGGAGGCAGGCCCTAAACATCCCCTGGCATCCATTTCCGCACGTTTGGCCCAGAGGCGTCTCGGAGCGCTTGGCTGCCGTTCATGGGCGGCAGAGCTCGCTCCCCAGCCGCCCTGGGCGCCGCCGCGCGTGGAACAAAGGCCCGCAAGCCCCGCCCGGCCCCGCCAGCGGCTCAGCGGGAGGGAGGAACCGAGGCGCACTCCATTGGCCCTTCCGGCGAGTGACGGAAGCGTCGGCCAACCGCTGCCTGCACACGGCGGTGCTTGCGTGCGTGCGTGCGTGCGTGCGTGCGTGCGTGCGTGCTCGAAGAATCAGCGCTCGAGGAAAAATTCGAGTTAAGCCTCTGCTTCCGGAAGTCTCTCTGGGGCTTCGAGAAGGTACGCATGCGTAGAGCGCCTCGGTCGACTCCTCCTCAAGCGGAGAGAGCTGGTCCCCCTCAGCCCTCTCCGCAGTTTTACAGAGACTGTCAGCTCCGCATTGTAAGGTTGGGCATTGCCTGGACGTCCACAAGGAGCATCTGAGAGGCGAATGCAGCCGTTTGTCATAGTCAAACAATAGTCGAAACTATTGTTACCTGCAAAGTTCACGCCGAAGAACAGCACGATGTTACAAAAAGAACGGAAAGAAAAAAAAAAAAAAAGGCGCGGAGCTGGGCATGTAGTTCATTTGGTAGAGCATGCAGAGCCTGGGTTTCGACCTGGTATTGCACAAACCAGATATAGTGGCAGATGCCTGTAATCTCAGCACTTGGGATCTGGAGTGAGCTAGATTAGGCCAGACTACAGAGTTCCGGGCTATTCCGGAATATATGAGACTCTTGTCTTAAAAATAAAATAAAATAAAATAAAAGGAAGAAAGCCTCAAACGATTTTGTGTTATGTTCCGCCTTAATGGGCCAGAGGTTGGACATGCTTGACTGTATTTTTCTGCCCTCTGGCAGTAAGATTATAGTGCGAATAGCCTGAGAGCTATTGGCCTGAATCTACAGAAGCTCTGCAGTATTAAGAATCATGGTTTGGGAGAACATTCCACAGCTTGTCAACTGCCCTATATCCTTTCTCTCAAGAGGGTCCTCACAATCCCTCCAGTGCCTAGCAGAGTTCCATTCCCAGCCTACAATGACCAACAAAGCCCTGTAGAAAGGTGGATAGCCCGGTCACAGGTTTAGGATTAGGATGCTGGAGTCCCAGAACACTGTCAAGATGAAGCAACCTAAGGCCCCATCTCCCCATCCAGGGTTCTTTACTATTAGGGACTATCCCCCTGCTTACGAAGAACTAGTGTCTAGTTAGGGTGGTTACCTTTCAAGAAAGAGCATAGGCACAGTTATAGTCACAACACTGGAAATTCGTCTGTGTCTGTGGTCCAAGAAGCATGCTTGAAGGAAATGACAACAGAATGCTAGGTTGTAACCGCAGGGATCAAGCTCAGGGATCCAGGAAACCTTAGAGCATTCCAAACACCTGAAAGCAGCTCTTGCAGTTCAAAGATAACAAAATAACAAAAGCTTTGGAAGAGTAGAGGAATAAACACGGGCTGTGCTGATAGTTAACCTGGAGAGAGAGGGGGAGGCTGAAATAGGAAACAGCACAAGTGGATGCTTTTGGCAATGTCCTGTACTAGGTTAAATGTTGGGGGCTGGAGAGATGGCTCAGAGGTTAAGAGCACTGACTGTTCTTCCAGAGGGCCTGAGTTCAATTCACAGCAACCACATGGTGGCTCACTGCCATCCGTTATGAGATCTGGTGCCCTCTTCTGGTGTGCAAAGATACATGGAAGCAGAATGTTGTATACATAATAAATAAATAAAATTAAAATGTTTAAAAATGTTGGGTTTCTGGCTATTCATTTTGTATGTATGTATGTATTGTATGTATGTATGAAATATATTTTAAAGGGTGATGATGCAGTGGCCCTAGTGACAAAAACTACTTGAGAAACTAAGGATTGCATATGCAAGGCTGGCCTACATTGCAAATTCAGTTCAAGGCCAGTGTTCTGGTTTGCTTTCTAAAGTTGTAATAGCACATTCTGACCAAAAACAGCTTGGGCAGGAAAGGGTTTATTTCAGTTTACAAGTTAACATCCATTACCAAAAGAAAGTCGGGATAGGAACTCATAGAAGCAGGAACTGAAGTAAAAACCATGGAAGAACACTATTTATTGGCTTGGTCCCTGGCTCCTGAAGGGACAAAACCCTCACCCAGCTCCCTACTTTAGCAGCCATGAAAGGCTGCAGAAAAGACCCAGAGAATAGCAACCACCCTGGGAGGGCCTATAGGCCCTAACAACCAGTTGACAAATCAGCACAGGACAGGTCTCCCAAGCCTGGAAGCACTAATCCTGAGATTGTTTCATACCCCTAAACACCCCCCTTGCTCCTCCCAATAAATTCCCCGCCTCAAAGCTCCTTCTGGTCCTTCTTACTCCATCCATCTGATGAACTGAAAAGGGCATGAGTTAAGACAGTTAACTCCTTAAACAATATAGACTCTTTGCTTTTGCATTGGAATGGGTCTCTTGGTGATTTGGGGGTTCAGAATTTGGGCACAACACTCCCTTTCAGCTACTATTTTTATACTGTTTTAAAATTTTTATTTTGGAACTGGAGATATGGCTCAATGGTTAAGCACACTTCTTTCTGGGGACCTGAGTTCAGTTCCCAGCACCCACATGGTGGCTCACAGCCCTTCCAGCTCTAGCTCCAGGAGAACTGACCCCTTTTTGACCTCTAGCATTCACATGGTGGCTCACAGTCTTCTGTAAATCCAGCCCCAGAGGATCTGACACTTTTGGCCTCTGAGGGCACTGGACATGCTCATGGTGCATAGACAGACAGACATGCAGGCAAAACACCTGAACAGGTAATATCAGAAAGAAAAGAGAGAGATTGAGGGTAGTAAATGTTGCTTACTACGTATGTGTCAGTCCTTGGGTTCAATTCCCAAGACCTCAAAATAGAACAAATTAAGAGCCAGAGAAAATTTTAAGTGAATAAATGATAGTGCAAATAGTACTAAACGTTCAGTGTAAAATCAGGTACTGATCCAATATGCTGCCCTCTCCACCCTTAAAAAACTCATACAGTGTGATGTTTTTAAGAGTTCTTGGGTCTCTGTTGGTGTGGCCAAGTGGTAGAGAGCTTGTCAAGCATGCACAGTGTTGTGGGATTTACTCCCAGGAAGAAGGAGAAAAGGAGGCAGTGGCAGCAGCATGGTGTTTAATTAGAGGCAAGTACTCTAACCTGAGCCATCTCTTCAGCCCGTACACAGATCTTTAAAAGGGAAAAGGGGGCTGTGGGCTGGGGCAGAACTAGGTGGTACCAGCTGCGTTCATGCGGGGTGTAGATAGATACTGACATAGGCCCGAGGGACCTGGCTCTGACCCTCGACAGGCAAGGGGGTAGGACGACTCAGATTTTCTCGTCATCTCACCATTTTTCCACTAAGAAGTTAAAAATACCACCGAGTATAAGACATTAAGTATCCCAGACCCAGGAGTAGACAAACAAATCACTAGCTAAGGGGTGGAGGACAGGGTGAGTCTGTTTCTGCTTGGGAGAGGGTTTTCAAAGGGCTGTGCCATCTGCAGAAGGAAAGAAAACCACACAGCAACACTGGAGGTGTTGAAAAAGAGCCCACCCACCGCTTCATTGTATAAAAAAGGAAACGGGCCCAGAGAGGGAAAGCAATTTGTCAAGTTCACACAGCAAGTTAACTCAGAAATGAACCTCAAATTGTGGCAAGGCCTCACATCTTTTCCCAGCTGAGCCTAATATGAACAGTTCAGCCGGGCAATGGTGTCGCATTCCTATAGACCCAGCACTCAGGAGGCAGATCTCTGAGTTCGAGGCCAGCCTGATCTACAAAGTGAGTTCCAGGATAGTCAGGACTACACAGAGAAACCCGGTCTTGAAAAACAAAAGAAACAAAGAACAACAACAACAAAAGAGAAAGTGTTGGGGTAGGTGGCACAGGAGAGCTTAGTTGTACCAAAAGCCCTTTTTTGCCATAAGGGGGAGGTCACAAAATTGTAGCCTTCCTGCAAGTGCCTTGTGTAGCTACTACGAAAGGCTGGCCCACACTTGTTGTGTGTCCAGCCACTGGGATTGTGCCCCAGGCTGTTTCAGAGTATATTTAACACCAACAGCAGCTTCAGCACTGAAGACATCGATTTCTTCTAAACTCTGTGTTAGAGCGAGTGGTTACACTACTTTCTGAGGTTCTCAAATTCTGTCTCTCTGTCTTTCCAAGTGTGAGTGTGCACAGAATGTGCATATAAATAGGAAGGTATTTAAAGGACTAGGGACTGGAGCAGTGAGATGGCTCAGCAGGTAAAAGCATTCGCTTTTTGAAGCCTGATGACCTAAGTTTGATTCATGGAACCCATGTAAAGGTGGAATCACCCTTAGACCTACACACACCACACACACACACACACACACACACACACACACATCAGGTAACTGACAACTGCCTTCAACTCCAGCTCCAGTTCCAGGGAATCTAATCCTGTCTTCTCTCCTCTTTGGGCATTAAATACTCGTGGTGCACATACGGACAATCAGGCACCTTAACATTAAACAGTAAATTTAAAAGAGCAGTAATAGGCCCGGCGTTGGTGGCGCATGCCTTTAATCCCAACAGAGGCAGAGGCAGGTGGATCTCTGTGAGTTCGAGGCCAGCCTGGTCTCCAGAGCGAGTGCCAGGAAAGGCTCCAAAGCTACACAGAGAAACCCTGTCTCGAAAAACCAAAAAAAAAAAAAAAAAAAAAAAAGCAAAGCAGTAACAAACACCTGTCATGCATATTTCTTTTCACTTCCTGGTGTCATGTTTATTTTGTCATGTTAATATGCACATTTCTGCATTTTTTCTTTTAATTTAATAGGTATGAGTGTTTTGTCTGCAAGTGTGCTTGTGTGCTACATGGGTATCTTGTGCCCACAGAAATCAGAGAAGGGCTTTGGATCCCCTGGGACTCAAATTATCCATGTGGGTGCTGGGTATTGATCCCAGGTCCTCTGCAAGAGCAGCCAGTGCTCTTAACCACTGAACCATCTCTCCAGGAGCTCCTCTTTCTTTGGGATGTTCTCTGTAAATCTGTTCCTCCAGTATCCATCACTACAGCTCCTTAGGTCATCCTCACTGTCATTTTGCATGAAA